AGAGCGATGGCCTCCAACCTATTAGCAATGGCCTCCAACCTACTAGCCATGGCCTGCAATGAACCTAGAAGCAATGGCTTCCAACCAAAAACCAATGGCCTCCAACCTAGAAGCAATGGCCGTCAACCTAAGAGCGATGGCCTCCAACCTACTAGTAATGGATTCCATCCTACTAGCAATGGCCTTACCTAGAAGCAATGGCCTCCAACCTAGAAGCAATGCCGTCCAACCTAAGCGCGATGGCCTCCAACCTGCTAGCAACGGCCTTCAACGTAGAAGCAATGGCCCCAACCTAAAAGCAATGGCCTCCAATCAAAGAGCGATGGCCTCCAACCCACTAGCAATGTCCTCCAACCTAGAAGCAAGAACTTGAGGCCATCAAACTTATGTTCTTTCAATCCTGTCTCTTGCAATTCCACCCCTCTGTTACACCCGCCTTGGCAAAAAAATTCTGCAGCTGATGTTGGCCTTTGGCCAAGTGTGCCTGTGACGAGGTGATGTTGTCTCTCAAAATCAGGGAACCAAGCTTGGAGCGAACACGGTCCTAGTAGCGAACTAGTTTCTCCCCTTAATTAACTAAGTAGGCAGTCTCTACTTAATTAAATAGGGGGAGCGAGTTTAAACAACACTCGCGTTCCAGGGCCTTTTGACCCCGGAAGGAGGAGACCCGTACGCCCATAAGGCGCAAAGTGCAGGGCATGAAGTCCTCCAAGATGGGTTCCAAGAGCCTTGGAGAAGAAACTGGACTCGTGTGAAACTGGATTAAAACATGCAGGACCTTCTCACACTTCTTTGTTCTATGGTAGGAGCGGGCTAAAAGAAAGAAAGACAGAAAGAAAGAAATAACGAACGAAAGAACGAAAGAAACAAAGAAACAAAGAAAAACAGACAGAACCAATCAAAGACTTCTTTGTTTTGTTGTCACACTTGTTTTTCCGCACCCAGAGTGAACTTGTACCTTCCAGGACCTCAATCCTTTTCGGTTGATTTGGGGGAGACCTCCTAGGCGGGTCGTTGGAAGCCTTCCACGGAACTCGACGCTTGAGGTCTGGGACAACGCTTGTGCCCTCCTTTCTAAGGAGAAGAAACAAAGTGTTTCACAACGATGAGAATAAAGACCTTTTTGGTCCTCAAACCAAGTTTTTCGGATCTTTTTAGACAACACCTTTTTCTCAAAGAAGACTGACACGCCTGTCATAAAATGCCATAAAAGGTGTCTAAAGGTACCGTCCTTGCTCCAAGTAGCGATGCCAGGAGCCCCTAGTAGCTTATTGTTACTAGTAGTACGGCCAGGAGCCCCTACTAGCGTCCTTGCTCCAAGTAGCGATGCCAGGAGCCCCTAGTAGCTTCTTGTTACTAGTAGCAAGGCCAGGAGCCCCTAGTAGCGTCCTTGCTCCAAGTAGCACCCTAGTAGCTTCTTGTTACTAGTAGTAAGGCCAGGAGCCCCTAGTAGCGTCCTTGCTCCAAGTAGCGATGCCAGGAGCCCCTAGTAGCTTCTTGTTACTAGTAGTAAGGCCAGGAGCCCCTAGTAGCGTCCCTGCTCCAAGTAGCGATGCCAGGAGCCCCTAGTAGCTTCTTGTTACTAGTAGTAAGGCCAGGAGCCCCTAGCAGCATCCTTGCTCCAAGTAGCGATAGTAGCTTCTTGTTACTAGTAGTAAGGCCAGGAGCCCCTAGTAGCGTCCTTGCTCCTAGTAATAAGGCCAGGAGCCACCCTAATAGTGTCCTTGCTCCGAACTTTCCTGCTCTGAGAGGCTGGTAGAGCTCCTGGGTCACCCGCAGCACAGCTGCCTCGCAGTCCTCCCCAGTGGCATTTGCGCTGAAACCTATGCCTCGCATCACCTGGGATAGTTTCCGTCAAAGAGGAAGGCAGTCCACAAGTAGGATCAAACGAGACGCGTCTTCTGGCATGCAAACAATATCAGCCAGTTCTTTTCAAGGTGTTGCTGTTCAACGTTTTCTGTTTGTCTCCTTGTTTGTGGTACAACCACATGCAATCAATGCTTTGGGAAGATCCTTGACCGATTCAAAGTATTGAACCATGTTCTGCACTGTTACAAGGATAGTGGGTGACGATCCTCTGCCAAATACCAAATACCTCCAATTCAAACAGACATCTGCAATATGATGGGTAATCGAACAGTGATTCGCTCAGCTTACTTTGAGCTGAATGTGGCCGCCAACCTCGTGAATCTGTTCACGGAAATACACCACCAAAACTAGAGTATGTCCAATGATCTTTGGAGGTATTGGGCTGGCAAAGAATGTGCTCACAATTCCAAACCGAGGGATTGCTTCCTTCAAGCCTGTATGCAGACGAGTTGCAGTTGCGAGTTTTCGCCAAAGGGACCATGTGATGACCAAACAGGAAAGTGAGGCCGTGGACGGATTTTCAGATCCATCACCCAAATAAGGCAGGTGTTCTAGTGTAAGGCTAAGCCGCGCTAAGTGCGAAGCGCATCACCCCCACTTCTCTTATATTGAGCTGCACTAGCTGATCTGCCCAAGAGCAAGCGCTTCATGTACTTTGTTTCTTTGCTTCTAGGAACAAGTGCCTTATTAGTAGTAACAAGAAGCTATTAGGAACAAGTGCCACGCACTTTGTATGTACTCTTTTTATACCACCCAGTCGGCAGGGCAGTCCAGAAGACGTGAACATACACAGGTTTGGGGCACCAACAGGAAGGAGTTTCAGCAGGGTTCCGTTCTACTCGTCATATGTTTTTTGCAAAACACCAAGGCGACTGTCCAGCGCCATAAAACTATTGCCCTCAATACTGCTTCTCAATTCGAGAGCCACCTCTCAGATTATCAATCCAGCCTCTACTCCATCCCCACAAACACGTGCAACCAGGTCACTGACACCTGCTTGTTTCGAACTTCAAAGCCTCAAACCATCAAAAAACACAGTGGTGACACAAAGAACAAACGCAAGCCCATTCTCAGAAGTCTAGGACTTCAGATAGAAAAATGACCAAAATCGTTCGGAACCTTCTTCTGTGAGCCTTTGAGCCCTTCAGGTGAGCTATATCAGCAACTGAGTTTCGGTACAAAGAAGCAACAGTCAACGAAACAAACAGAACAATTAACAAAGTAACAAATTCTTGTGATCTTGTGAATCACAGTCGAAGTGGAGTTTATCCATGCTTTACAGACCCTTGTGCATTTTCTTGGAATGAAACACGAAGCACACCGAAGATTAAAAGAATCGAGCCGACAGAAATTAGACCAACTCTTGGAAACATGGTCAGCGCTCCGGGGACAAACATATGGATCAAACATGATGCGCGCATGTAGGGTGCTTGTGGGTCCCAACTCTAAACGGCTGTTTAGACTCGGGAAGAAACACCGTAAAAGTCAACTTAGTCAACTTAGACTTTGACAGCAACCCTAGTACAGGTCACCAAAAGACTAAGCGCATAATGAGAAAAACAAAAAGCAAGGCCAAAGGGTCCAACAAAACAAAACAAGTATAATAGTAGCAAGGACGCTATTAGGTGGAGGCCATCGCAAGTAGGTTGGAGGCCATCGCTAGTAATAATTGTCGTCAGTTTTTAACCCAATAACACCAGGTGCTGTGTGGCTCCCCTGGCGGCTCTAAGCAGAGCCGCTGGTAGTCTTGACTTTGAGGGCCGCCACACGGGCGGCCAGCGGGGGGACAGAGGCCGCCATATCCTCGCGACAAAAACCACATGCATGATGCACAAGTGCTGCACATACTCTTCATTTCCTGAGTGTTCCCGTGTTCCTGACACTTTGGGGATTGGGAGCTGGCAGTGCTTGTTCGGGAACATCTTGGAGTTTGATCACGCACAACTCTGAGATCTTTGTAGTGCAAAGCCTTGGGGAGCTAAGTGCAGATCCATACTGACCTCCACTCGCCCAGCAAAGGTCAACATGGGAGGAGCAGTCGCTGACTGTATTCTGAGGGCAAGGACAAGGTTGGAGGAGATGGAAACAGTACTTGAAGTTGAGGTCCGGAGAAGGAGAAGGATAAGAAGGAGAAGAAGGGGGAGGGCCTCTCTGATAAAGTCTAACAACCCCTGACCTGGCAGGTGCGGGAAAAGCATCAAAGACCTAAAGCACCATGAAACATGCACGAACCATCGAACCATATAAACAAAACATCATAAAACACGAACCACTATAACACCCCAACCACTGGACCTCACAACAGGTCAGCCAGGAGCCAGGAGCCCAGCTGTCGTGAATGCTCGGAGCACGGCATTTTAGATGGCATAGGCTACTGGAAGAGCCTCTTTCTCTATACAAATAAGGTGTGTGTTTTGTTCTTTCCGCTTCCATAATGATTAATGATGACTCGGAGGGTAAACCTTTGAAATTCTTTGTTTGCGGAGTGCAAATTTCCGTCAACCCCTGCCCTTTTGCTCCCTTGAAATTGCGCCTGAATGCGTTTTTTCTAGGTCTTTCCCGATGCAGATCGCAGATTCGGCAAGTCAAGTCACGTGGACAGCAATGGAACCGATGTCGGAAAAGAACCCAGCGGTACTTTGCCTTCAAAGGCACGCGGGGATGGTCCCCCGAACCTTTGAACGGTGTCAGTTGAGTCTGCGCTTTACCACTCTCAATGTGGGTCACTGAGTTTCCGATGTTCAAGTTCACCAAAACGGCATCGTTTTTTGTAGGGTTTTCTTGGTATTCCTTGTCTAAGTTGTACATGTTGGAACAACTTGGACAAGGAATACCACGAAAGCCCTACAAGAAACGATGCAGTGTGTGAGGCGCATGAATGCGGGAAGGATGCTGCAACGACCAAAGGCGCCGTCCAATGTGAATCACGGAGTCCGGGATGGTCAATTGGGCCAATGTGTCGCAATCTTCGAAAGCGCTTTCATGAATTTGCTTCGCCATTTGGAACTTCGACCAGCAAAAATTCTGAGTCGATGCCACCAAGACCAAGACTGACTATCCCATTTTGGTTCGAGCAAATCACTGTGTCTGGTTTGAATACAACAGTCACAACAGTATCTTCAGCTATTCCAGCTTCCATCAGCTTTTCATGATTGGTCAGCAAGCATCGTTGGCCAGCAAGTGGTTGTCTCCGACAATGACCTTCACACCTGTAGTGAGCTTGTCCCAAAGCTGTTCCTTTTTGATCTTCTGCGCCTTGTGCGTGAGTGCCCGCCCTGTCATCTCTGGCGTGACTTCAAGAACTATGACTTCACCACTCGGCTGCCGTGCTGAAATGATCTTCGCCATGGCTCAAAGACCTTGACGTATTTGGATTGTAGCCGCCGATTCTTACTTTATTTTTGTGTCTGCCTTCTGCTTACTCGCTGGCCTTGTGGCTTTTGGTACTGATACAAACAATTGGCCTGGCTTAGTGATTGGGAAACATGTTGTTGATGGAGTTTCCAATCACTGTTACACACTTGATCCTATATTTAGTGACTGCATATGACGTTGACCTGTTCATAGAAATTCTTGAACACATCCACATGGATCAGACATCCAGCCAAAGACCTGCCGCATCAACAAGACCGTGCACCCGCGTGGACTCAACATGAAATTGGATCCCTCAAAGGTGGTTGGACCACCTGTGTGTGTGTCGTTTATTTTTCCGAAAAAAAATGGTTAGTCACTAAGTCTCAGTCTACAGGTGTAGCAATCCAACACATGAGATATGGCTCTGGCTCAACATCAGGCAACCCCAGTTGACCCACTACAATGAACAGGAGAGTCCACAAAGCCCATATGGTCCGCCATGTCCAGAATCGTCACATGCCACTGCACCATTCGAGCAATCCAAAAACGATTATATAATCTTCTATAGCTATAGATTGATTGGATGGCACAAACCGAACTGAGGTTTGTGCACTCTGGAAGCAAATAACAGAATCTTCAGCGATTCCTCAACATCTTGCTTCCCAATTCCCGTAAAATTCCCTCTAAACAATTCCATTTCTTCGAATTGTTCTTGATTATTTTCAAAATTCATTTCTTCTCCACTTCCTTTTGTGCAAGCATTCCGGCTGCCGGCCTCGGCCACCTGGCGGCAAAGGTCCTTCAAACGGCTTTGCAGCTCGGCTTTCTGCCCTTCGGCGCGGAAGGTGCGCTCGCAGGAGAGTGACTTCCTGCGTTGCTGCACTGCGACGGGCAGGAGCCCCTAGTAGCGTCCATGCTCCTAAAAGCTGAATGTCTTTCAAACTGAAAGAGACTCCATGAAGCGAGTGGAGCATAGTGGAGGCCATCGCTAGTAGGTTGGAGGCCATTGCTATTGACAAACATGCCTGCCTCCCACCTATTCAACAGCTGTTGGTATATGCCTATGCTGGCATAAAGTGTTTCTTGACACATGTGCTCACGTCCATCCGATCACCATGCCTTGCCAATGTCTGATTTGGCAACAAAGGTTTGGGGACAAGAGGAACTTGGTTGATTGATTGATTGATTGATTGATGTGGCAGTAGCGATTGCATTCACAAAAATCCGCAAGGTGATTGTGTTCCGTTTGATCTTCAAGGCAGGTTGAAGCGTATGGACAGTGCGGTTGGACAGTGTGAGAAGAAAAACACGTTGTTGCTTTGATCCCTCATCTTGCAACGGCAGCCATGGCCGCTTTTCTAAGAGGCAAGTCGGGCCCGACATTGGCACTAGGACTCTGACATACACTGGAGCAAGAACGCTACTAGGAGCAAAGGGCATCGCTACTAGGAACAAGGACGCTACTAGGGGCTCCTGGCCATACTACTAGTAACAAGAAGCTATTAGGAACAAGACATAACTTTAAATATATAAATAGAATTGGAGGCCATCGCACTTAGGTTGGTTTTCAGTGTGTCGAGTCCTCCCCACGGCACCAACCTCATCGCCCTCTTCGGACAACTCCTTCGGGGACGATTTCACCAACCTTTGTCCAACGACCTTCTTCCGTTAGCTTTTCCGGCTTCCGTTTCATTTTCGGCTTTGGCAAAATGGCCAGGTGTTTCTAATCATTCCTCCCGAACAAACAGGCTGGAAGATGACTCAGCCCTTCGTGCACCAACCCGTGCACACAAGCTGTTTTGTCAGACTCATCTTCTCGGAACTTGGATGGGACTTGACAGAACAGCAACTGGCCATTCTAAAGGCGCTACAGGCACAGTCTTCATCTCGTCGCGCCTCACCGGAAAGCCCTAAAGCGGCTCTCAAGAGGAAACTACAGGTCTTCGGTCTGGAAGCAAAGGCCCGGCGCACGCGCGCGCACTGCTCACGGAGCTCTCGGCAGCTCGAGATCTGCAACCTGAGCTGTCAGAGGTGGTAGATTCTTTTAGGTCGAACTCTAGACTCTAAACGCCTTATCTTTTTGGAAGGAAGCTATTGGGTTGGAGGCCATGGCTCTAGTATGTTGGAGGCCATCTCTAGTATGTTGGAGGCCGTCGCTGGGTTAGAGGCCAAAATCACCTTGATGTAAACCACCACACAACCGGTTTCCAACGAGTCGACCCGTTTGAGACTACACAGCCCTGAATGACATAAATTCACGTAAAGCACACATGTTGCAAATCAAAGCGCCGCCACTAGACATGCTCATCACAAGAGAGCGAAAAGGGCATTCTTCACTGTGCTAAGCTTTGTTTGGAGTGCATGGTGTTCATGGCGGATGAATTCTCTGCCAAGCAACATGGTGGAGATTTGATGTTCCAGAACCTCACAAGAAGCCAGTAGTAACAAGTGCCTCGCTAGTAGTAACAGGTGCCTTACTAGTAGTAACAAGAAGCTACTAGGAACAAGTGCATCCAGGTTGATAAAAACAGTGCCAATCGGCACTGTTTCTGCGCTGTCTTGGCGCCGACGAGAAGGCGAAGTCAGTCGTGAGAGTCTCCTCGTCTCACTGGCAAGAGAAGGATGGTTTTTCTCCGAGAAAACACCCAAGTAAAAAGCACTCGTCGTTTTGACGGGAAACTTGTGCTTTGTTAATTGGGAAGCCTCCTTTCAGGGCTACGCCAAGCTACCTTCAACAAGATCACAGTCACATCTCCTCTTGTCTTTGCATTTCCTTCCACAGCGACTCACCACGGCAACCAGGAGCCCCTAGTAGCGTCCTTGCTCCTAGTTGCACCACGACCACAGCGACCCGCCACGGCAACCGGCACTTTGTGCCACCAAGACACCTTTCCACAGCCAGGGATCTTCCGCACCGGCAACTGGTCCATGAAGGCTAAGACAGCCTTCTGCGCGGTGACCATGAGGAAAGTGATTGACCAAAGAAAAAAGGGAAAGAAGAAAGAAGAACCAGAAGGAGACAGTTCGAAGAACAACCTCTTCGTGCAAACTCTTCTCGCTGACATCTCTGTCCACTCCGCCTCTTGGGTGGGCAAAATTCTAGTCTGACCATCCGGCTTCCTCTCATCTGAGGCGATCTTCGCCACCATACCTCAGGAAAGAGGGCATCAAAAGGCTATTAGGTTGGAGGCCATTCCTAGTAGGTTACTGAAGATCACGTTGGTTGAAGGCTAGGACCGTACACTTTCACAAAGATACCCACAGCGAACTTGGGTCGAAGATGTTGCATCCAAATGTGGAACAAGCAAGCAAAAACAACTATCAGTTTTTGATGTTTTCGGTGTTCCCCAACACTTCATCCGATTGGATTATACTCACAAAACTAGTAGCGATGGCCTCCGCCGAGTAGCGTCCTTGCTATTCGGTGGATCTGCAGTGTACGGCAACGTTGCAATTTCAAAAAACTGCAGTCGCTGGGAATCGGGCGGTTGGGGCCGATGCCAGCAGAGCAGGTGAGGCTGGTTGAAGCCTTGACCTCTGCCCGGAGAAGGTTAAAGAATGGGAGTGGATTTGGGGCCTCCAACCTACTAGCGATGGCCTCCACCTAGAAGCGTTCTTTTGAAAAATAACACAAAGAATGAGAGTGGCTTTGGTTTCTGTTGTGAGGACAAACTATTGATCTTTACAGGCTTTGAATCCAATCAGGTCCTCCAGCCGGTAACCCCTCTCTCAACAAGACCAAACTGCTTGATGATGTTTGACAGTACTTTCTGACCTGCCATACCAGTTAACAGTGAGCTGTCAACCGGGTATCTCTTCCCACTCCTGCTCGATGCCTTGTCCCTCATCTCCTGCACTACTACCTCCGCCTCCAAGCCAGAGCGTTCAAGGTAATCGGTGAGATCCTTGGGGCGGAATTCCACAGGCTCATCAAGGGCACAACAATGAACCCAAATCTTCAAGTGCAACGTGATGGTGGGCTGTAATATCGTTCCTTTCGACCATTCAACTGCTACTTTCCTCATTTGAAGCTGCAGTTCCTCTTGATGAAGAATGCCAACCTAAGAGCAGGTCCGCCCCAGCCAGCTCCGATACAAGGCTACAAGGCTCTCAAAGACAATAAAGGCACGCCTTCACTGCCCGAAATCGCATGCTTTTGTCGAACTGTACATGGTCCAGCTGGTGTTCTGGTATTGGGCGAGTTCTTCCTTTGCTGCGCCTCGGGCCTTCCATGCGTTTCGGCCGTCTCAGTGCAAAACAGTCCACTTGTTCCTAAACCAGATGACTAGTTGTCACAAAGCGAAAATCAAGAAGACAATGTTTGCGGATAGAGCAGGGGAGAGGATGGTGTGTGTAGGTTGGCTTGAGTGAGTTAGTGTGTCTATGTTGGTGGGAGAAGGTTGGTGTGTGCAATTTGGTATGAATGGGTCCGTGTCTGCGTGTGGTGTGACTGAGTTGGTGTGTGTGTGTGTAACCCTTGGAATCATAGGGATCCTTTCGGATTTTTCAGCTGGGGAATCACAGGGATCCTTTCGGATTGTTCTCGCTTTCAGCGTTTTTGTGCTTTTGCGGTTTTCAGCAGAGGAATGATACGCACAAATCTTGAAGTGTACCATGTTGTTGCAGTTGAAAGGAATGACACGCACAAATCTTGCAGTGTACTACGTTGTTGCAGTTCAAAGGAATGACACGCACAAACCTTGATGTCTTTCATAATGTTGCAGTGCAACCTTTGGAGTCACAATCCGTTTTCGGTTTTGTTTTGTGTTTTTCTCGCTGCCTTGTGTCTTATGGGCCCTCTAACCTATTGCGCA